GTAAGGAACTATTTCGAACACGAGCATACAACTTCATTTCTTCATAAAAATGCTACCCCGGCCACGAGAATCCAAGTCAAGCTCGTATCATGTTGCAGAGATTGTCAACACCAAAGAATTTTCCTCATTGAATTCTCCGTCCTCACACATACTCTAGTCTCTTCTCGTCCCATCCAGGACGCAGGTACTCGCCATCGAAGCCGAGATCGAAGCTCGTAGTATGGACGTAGTCCAGCTCAAGCTCTACCTTGATTTCAGAACCGTTGGCATCCTGGCTCCACAGAGTGACGGCGACGGCGTTCTCGCCGTGGTAGTCCCAGATGCCAGGGGGGACAGGGAAGTGGACCTGGTTGCCGATATGGGGGTTGAATCTGCCGAACTGGTAGCCGTTGACGAACAGCAGAGCCCTGACGCGGTTGCTGTAGCCAGACTTGGTGGGCTGGAAGGTCGAGTTCGAGGGCGCCGTCAGCCTAAAGGAGATGGCAACGTCGAGGCCGGCGGGGACGTCGAGATCGACCGTAGTGCGGTACACGCGAACTCCAGCGCCGGGCACGTCGAGAGTCGTGGCGTTAGAGGGGTAGGACGTGAAGGACTCGTCCGAGAAACCGGGCAGGTGCACGCCGATGCGTTCGGCGTACAGGCCTCCCTCATTGAGAGGGCCACGGACGGGGTCGATGTTGCCCTGGCCGCCACCTGCCGTGCCCGCAATCTTCCACTCGGAGAAGCGGTATGCCTCGCTGCTGGGACCGATAAGAGTGGCGTTGGAGATACCACGGGGCGCCAGAGCTGCCTCACGCAGATCGTGACCAGAGTTGTCCATGAGGACCGTAAGCACGTTCTCGCCTTCGGTCGCCAGGGTGGCGTTGTCGAAGGAGAGCTCCTCAGCCCAGGCACCGAGGTAAGAGTATCCAAGGTACGAGCCGATGTAGTCACCGTTGAGCCAGGCAGAATAACCGAAGGCAAGACCACCAGTCAGGTTAAGGAATACGCCGGTAGGAGGCTCATCGGTCGAGGGGAAGGTGGCGCGGAACAGGTGGTTGCCGACGTGGACTTTGTACTCGTCAACGTAGAGGACTGGGTTCGAGAGATCAGGAATCTCAGTGTTGCTGGTCTCGTTTCGGTCGGCGACTACAACATGTCAGACAGTGAGAAATGGTCAAAGAATGGACCTCTTACCAATCCAGGTCGATGGCGACGCCTCGTAGTCGGGCGCAATCTCTGGCAAACTGTCATCGTACTTCCACGATCCAAGGACCGGCAGTTCAAACTTGGCTGGTCCATCAAGGCTGAAGGTGAATTCATTTCCGTTGCGCGATTCAATGGCTACCTTCTCCCCGTTCCAGGAGATGGAACACAGCGAAGAAGGGGCGAAGACGGTAACGGTCGTGGGGCCGTCCAAATCACCACGCAAGTCAAGACCACGGTTCGTCTCGTTGATGGAGGCGTGACGGACCAGGTAGGGGCCCTGGACCAGAACTATAGGGACAGTCAGCGAATAACGGAGGCACACTGGGGATCTTTCTGCATACCAGTCTTGTTCTCGACGAAGAATGGGTTGTTGTCCAGCCTATGAACAGTCAGTTGTCTGTAAAAGAGCTCAATCGCATATCGGCTTACTGAGGGGCCCAGAAGTGATAGGCGGCCTTGCGGTCGAGAAGAACGACTGAGGAACCATCCTCAAGGTCGACAGTGAAGATGCCCTTCTCTTGGGTGTAGGACACGGTGATGTTGTCTTCGCCGGGGTAGAAGTCAATCTTGCCAAGGCTCTGCTCTCCAGACTGGGCGTCCGTCACACCGTTGACGACAAACTCGCCAGACTCGCCCTCAGGGAGCCACAAGACGAGCACCTCCTTCTCATTGAAGACGGCGTAGGTCAGGACCTCAGCGGTCGAGTAG